GGAGCTTGTGCCCAGTGGGAGCCAGCTTAAAAAACAGCTCCCTATGAGCACCAGCTCCGTGGGTAGGCCGAGCATCTATAATGGTCCTGTATCAGAGGCAGCAACACAAGATATCGGGGGCTCCACAGGAGTGAGGCCAGGAGCATACTGGCCGCCAGCTCACCCATGGGAAAGTATTTTAGTAAACATGTAACTTCAAAAAATTTTCAGTCACACAGTGACTACAATATGTAATGTGCTTAGTAGGGATGTAAAATAATTAAAAAAAAACTAGTAACCAATTGAAACACACCCAGTTACACTGTTAAATGCTCTGCAGGCTGGCAGGAGCTTAATCAGTAAACAAACATAGCTGATCAGCTGCCTGCTCAGCTCTTACCCCTACTGGCTAGGGATGTATCACTTGGGGCAGCTTGCAGAGCCCTGGCTGCCCGGGTTGCTAGATGGTTTTAACAAAAATAGCAGACACCCTTGACATAACATCACAATCTACATCACATTTTTAGAAAATACTGGACATTTATATTTTCTCAATTTGTTGCTGGAACAGAAAGCTCAAATACGCAAATACTGGACTGGCTGGTTCAAAACTGGACATCTGGCATCCCGCAGCTTGCAGAGCCCTGGCTGCCCGGGTTGCTAGATGGTTTTAACAAAAATAGCAGACACCCTTGACATAACATCACAATCTACATCACATTTTTAGAAAATACTGGACATTTATATTTTCTCAATTTGTTGCTGGAACAGAAAGCTCAAATACGCAAATACTGGACTGGCTGGTTCAAAACTGGACATCTGGCATCCCTACTGGGGGGTGGCAACAGCTTTCCACAGCTGACTCCCTGCCAGAGGTGCACAAGCAGCCACAGTCCATCCACAGAGAGAGGAGAGGAGAGGGAAGGAGGAAGGAGGGAGGGAATGAGAGCTGTGGAGCCCATCAGCAAAGGCCAACACATTTCACTGTTCCCTCATTGCACACCGTGGGATTTGCTGTCACGCTGAAATAGAGGAGAATATTTTGCTTTTTTCCCTCATGTGGTTTTGTCTGCGAGGCCTTCAGGGCAGGGATGTCTGGGATAAGCACACAGCACACTCAGGGGACCCTCTGCCTGTGGCAGGAAGCAGAACCCAGCCCCGGCCCACTCCGCTCCCCCAGCTCCCCACTGCATCGCTCGGGGAATGGGCTTGGGCAATAGTGACTGCTTGGGAGGGACACAAGGGGGGCACCCGTCATGTGACTGCTCCCCCACATGATTCCACCCTGCACCATCCCTAGTCCAAGGGAGAGCCCTGCCCTGCCCCCACGCCACCTTTTCCCTCAATCCCCAACCCCTGAATGACATGGCTGGGGGAACTAGCAGGAGGCCTGGCAACCACAGCAGGGGTCCTCCCCCAACACACACTGGAGGGAGGAATCACAGCCCTGGCTCCCAGTAGTGAGTGCAGGGGGCAGTTCAGCCCCTTTCCCCAGTCCCCTGCTGTGATGCAGCTAGGGGAGCCAGGGGAGCAGGGGCCCCCAAAGCACAGAGCCTTGAGTGGTTGGATAATCTGGGCTCTGCCTGCTGGCCCCTACCCTCTACCCCGGCGGGGTGGTGGGGTAGCGAGCTACGAGCATGCGGGTAAGAGAGAAACTTCCTCCGCGCACGGATGCGAGCAAGACCGGTCAAGGGAGCGAGGGGAACGGGGTCCAGCCCTCACGTCTCTTGTGATCTAGGGGCTGCCCGAGGGGTTTGTTCTTGCTGCAGTGCTGGTGGTGCTGGCCTCGCCTCCCGGGTTAGCTCTGCGTTGCTTTTCGTTTTGCTAAAGTTGTCATGGTGGTTACGTTGTTTATCAGTCTTGAGCTGCTCTGCTAATGCTCCGTGATGATACTGTTTTGATGATTTGAACGTGATGCACATGAGGCTTTCTACAAAGTGACTTACAAATGTTAGCTCTAATTCTCAAACCCATCCTGTGAAGTAGGCGCTGGCGCCTTCATTTTTACAGAGGGGAACTGTACTAGAGAGGTTTCCTGCTTGGAGGCAACAGAGAGACAGGCAGTATCGACTCGGATGAGGATGCATTCAGTTTTCATTCCCAGTCTTGTGCTTACACCCCTTCTCCCAACCATAAAAACATTAAAAAATGCTTTAATAAAAGGAAAGCTTTAAAAAAGCTGTAATGAATGTAAAGCTCTTGTTTTCTTTTTAAATAATATATAACACAGGTTTTAAATGCTCTTTTGCTATTGTGAATTACGTTTTCTAAGGGTAAATGTGCTTCAAAATGTGTTTAAGGTTTTCTCAGAATCACAAGGTTGTTTTGGTCCTGATACCACAGACTTATGCACAGGGCTGGACCAAGCCATTCCAGTGCCTCGGGCAGACAGTTTAATTGCGCCCTGGGTTGGGGAGGGTGTATGCATGGCCCCACCTCTCTGCCAGCGTGTGGGGGAGAGCACATGTGCGGCCCCGAACCTGCGTGTGGGGAGAGGGTGTATGCGTGGCCCCGCCTCCACCCAGCGCGTGGGGGAGGGCACGCAGAGCTGGCAGTGGCAGGATGCATGTGTCTGGCCCGGCTCAGCCCAGCTACCGCCGCTGGCACACAGCCCAGGGCAGCCTGAGCCTGGCCATGCGGGGCCCCGCGGGAGGAAGGGCGCTGCTGGCCGACGCTGCAGGGGTTAATGTGGCCCCCGTTCCGGGCGGCCGCTGCAGAGTGGCCGCTGGGAGCTGCTGTAGCCCGGGAGCCGGGTGCGCAGCGCCTGATGGCAGCTATAAGGGGTGCTCTGCGCCCCTTACAGCTGCCATCAGGTGCCCCCCCATAGGTTGGCCCCTGGCGCCCAGCTAGTCCATGCCTTAATCCAGCCCTGCTTATGCACACTTGGACTGTTCAGAATTGGTGCATTAACACAACAGGTTTTGACAAACAGAAACTTACTTATGTTTATTGACTAGATATGTCTGGAATTATCTAGCCACTAGCCAATTTAAGTTTGATGGCTTCTTGAGAGATTGAGGGCTCTCAACTGCCATTGCCTTAAGAGCCTCACAATGTCAGGCATTTATTCACATTGTCCATAGTTGGGATCCCTGAGACATCTCTCTAGAGGAGAAGTTTCACTGATTTAAATACAAGTAGATAAATTGGTAGAAATCACATAGTATAAACATATATAAACTGGTTGACCCTTCTTTTAAATGAACTTTGCTAAATTAATTTGCCTTAAAAGAAAATGTTTAAAAAGTGGAAGTTAAATCCTAGTGAGGAAAACAGAAAGGAACAAACTGTCAAATTAATAAAATAAAAAAAGCCAAAAAGGAGTTTGAAGAACAGCTAGCCAGAAACTCAAAAAGCAATAGCAAAATGTTTAAGTACCTCAGAAGCAGGAAGCCTGCTAAACAGCCAGTGGGGCCCCTGGACGATCAAGATGCTGAAGGAGCTCTCAAAGACGATAAATACATTCTTTGCTGCTTCAGTCTTCACAGCTAAGGATGTTAGGGAGATTCCCAAACCTGAGCCATTCTTTTCAGGTGACAAATCTCTGGAATTGTACCAGATTGAGGTGTCATTAGAGGAGGTTTTGGAACAAATTGATAAACTTAACAGTAACAAGTCACCAGGACCAGATGGCATTCACCCAAGACTTCTGAAAGAAATCAAATGGGAAATTGCGAAACTATTACCTATGGATTGTAACCTGTCCTTTAAATCAGCTTCTGTACCCGATGAGTAGAAAATTGCTAATATGACACCAACATTTAAAAAGGGCTCTAGAGGTGATCATGGCAGTTAGACAGGTAAGTCTAATATCAATAGTGTACAAATTAGTTAGAACTATAGTAAAGAATAAAATTGTCAGACACATAGATTGATATAATTTGTTGGGGGAAGTCAGCATGATTTCTGTAAAGGGAAATCATGCCTTAATAATTTACTAGAGCTCTTTGAGGCTGTGTCTAGACCTACATGCCTCTGCCGACAGAGGCATGTAGATTAGACACATAGGCAAAGGGAAATGAAGCCGTGATTTAAATGATCGCGGCTTCATTTACATTTACATGGCTGCCGCGCTGAGCCGACAAACAGCTGATCAGCTGTTTGTCGGCTCAGCGCGGCAGCCATGTAAATGTAAATGAAGCCGCGATCATTTAAATCGCGGCTTCATTTCCCTTTTCCAGAACAACAAATCTACATGGCTCCATCGACGGAGCCATGTAGTCTAGACGTACCCTGAGAGGGTCAAGCAAACATGTGGACAAGGGAGATCCAATGGGTATAGTATACTTAGATTTCCAGAAAGCCTTTGACAAGGTCCCTCACCAAAGGCTTGTTAGTAAAGTAAGTTGTCATGGGATAAGAGGGAAGGTCCTCTCATGGATTGATAAAAGGTTAAAAAGACAGGAAACAAAGGATAGGAATAAATGGCAAGTTTTCATAATGGTGAGAGGTAACTAGTGGTACACCCACATCTTGAATACTGCATACAGATGTGGTTGCCTCATCTCAAAAAAGATATATTGGCATTGGAAAAGGTTCAGAAAAGGACACAAAAATGATTAGGGGGTTGGAACAGGTACCCTAGAAAGAGAGATTAGAAAGACGTGGACTTTTCATCTTAGAAAAGAGGAGACTAAAGGGGGATATGATAGATGTCTATGAAATCATGACTAGTATGGTAAATGTGAATAAGGAAAGCTTATTTACTTGTTACCATAATATAAGAACTAGGGGTCATCAAATGAAATTAATAGGTAGCAGGTTTAAAACAAAAGGAAGTTTTTCTTCATACAGCACATGATTGACCTGTGGAACTCCTTGCCAGAGGAGGTTGTGAAGACCAGGACTTTAACAGGATTCAAGAAAGAACTAGATAAATTAGGTCCATCAATAGCTATAAGCCAGGATGGGTAGGAATGGTGTCCCCAGCCTCTGTCAGAAGCTGGTAATGGATGACAGGAGAGAAATTACGTGGTGATTCCCTGTTTTGTTCTCTCCCTCTGGGGCATCTGGCATTGGCCACTGTTGAAAGACTGGATACTGGGATAGATAGACCTTAAGAATGGCCATACTGGGTCAGACTAATGTAATTTACTAATTATTGTAAACTAAAACAATGTCTGAGGGATAAGTGGTACTGAACTACATATATATTGGGGAATGCATTGGGTTAACTAGATCATTTAAGATTTTAGTTAAATTGGTGCAACCTTTCTAGTATTGATAAGGTCTTAGGATGTGCAGTCTCTAAAGTAGGGGTGAGCAATACGTTTTTTTTACCAGGGGCCACTTCAGAAATTTTTGAAGTGGTCCTGGGCTGCACTGAAGGGGCGGGGCCAGGATACTTCCCTGCTTCCCCACCCATAGGCCATAATTTGTCTGGGGGTAGGAAAGCATTTGAAGTCTTTGCTCTCCCTCCCCTCCCAAGGGTTCCCCCTAGATGCCCATTTCTCAGGTGCTGGGAGGAAACTTCATGCGCTCCCCTCCATCCCCACGCCAATCAGGGCTTGGGGACAGAGGAGTGCGCGAAGTCTTTTCCCACCCTGCCAGAAGCATGTGATCCTCCTAAGTACTGCGTGCTCCTGGCAGGACTGAAGAATCTTCATGCACTTCCCCCTCCCATGGGCCCCAATTGGCTTGGGGGCGGGGGCATGTCAGGCCCTCCATGAACTGTATCAACTCACTTGGCGGGTCGGATCTGGCTCGCAGAGACCGGGGGGGGAAGGGAGGGAGAGAAGAACAGCATAAGAACAAAGCCAACCAACCGAAACCCACAATATTTATGTGATCTAGGGCCTGTACTACTTACTTACTTTCTTCCTTCCTTCCTCTTTCCACTGCTGCTGTTTGAAATGTTTATATATGTGTCTTGCCTCCTAAAAACTCTTAAGGCAATGACAGTGTCTTCTATGAGTTTGTGGGAAGGGAGGGAGAGAAGAACAGCATAAGAACAAAGCCAACCAACCGAAACCCACAATATTTATGTGATCTAGGGCCTGTACTACTTACTTACTTTCTTCCTTCCTTCCTCTTTCCACTGCTGCTGTTTGAAATGTTTATATATGTGTCTTGCCTCCTAAAAACTCTTAAGGCAATGACAGTGTCTTCTATGAGTTTGTACAGAACAGTGGGAACCCAGTCCTAATTGGGACCACTAGATATTATTTCAGATTTATAATCACAGTAAAATCAACCTAACACTGTTACTGTCAGCATTGTTGACATTATTAACCTCCCTGTCAGTTAGGCCTGTCATCTAGTAGTCATTTTTTATTCCTCCTCCTTTCTAATCTTACACATCCAAGCCATATACAAATCTCACTGCTTTTTTCCCATTAACCCTTCCAAGATCAGTCTTTTCTCTCTGTCCATGCTACTTTAACTCTCATTTAGGCCTTCATCTTCTGACTTGACTCCTGCAACCTACTCTCTGACCTTCCTTATGTTCATCTTGTCTCCTTCAGAATGTTTAAAATGGAGATGGTAAAATAATTTTTCCTGATCTATAATTCAAACCATGTCAGTCCTTTTTTTGACTCTGTTCTCGTTCTTTCTCTCTTCCTTCACATGAAATTCAGTCTTCTTGTCTCTGTTACAGTGCCCTTCACAACTCTGCCCTTTTTATTTATCTAGTCTTATATCTTACTGCATTATGCCAAGTGCTCTCTCAGTGTCAATCTTTATCACATTTATTCATTTCTTCCACAATTACCTTCATGATGCTCCTTACACATGGAATGCTCTCTCTGAACTAACATGTAAAGCAACTGCCCGAGTCTGTTCTTAAATTTCCTCAGGATCACTACAACCATTATACTAATTGTAAATTACCAAGTGAAAAAGATTGTGAGGGTGTTTTGATATTAATATTTTTATACTATTAAGAAAAGTTCTGTAAACTGAAAATTGTTTGGTTCTAGTCTCCATAATGATGCTTATAAATGTTACTTTCTTCCCTCCATTGTGACATATTTTTGGTCACAAGCCCGGCCACTGACTGCTTCCTGCAGCTCCCACGGGCTGGGAATGGTGAAATGTGGCCAGTGGGAGCTGCTAGCAGCTGTACCTGCAGACTCACAGGTAAATAAAGCAGCTGGTGGCCTGCAAGGGGCTAACCCTGGTGGCCTGCATCTGGCCCAGGGGGCACTTATTTTCCACCCCTTCTCTTGGTACATCTTGCTCAGTGGTAAGCTCTCTGCTTAAGGATCTTTCTCTTACTATGTGTTTTTACAGCCATTGACACAATAGGACCCCACTTAATTGGGGTCTTTAGGTGTAGGTGTAATAAAAAGATTTTTCCTTTGGGTCAATGATAAATGACCTGTTAGAATGAGAAATAAATTATCAATTCTTAATTTCTGTCGACTTACATTTTTCAGTTATCGACAGCTGAGTAGCAAATGTCTGTAAGGATGGAATTTGAAATAGAAATATGGGCAATACCTTAAAAAAACAGTATCCGGTATGTAGGCTTCCTGTTTATGCCATTTCATAATTATGTAATGTGGTATGAGGAAAGTCCTCCAGCTTTCTCTGCTACTACAAAAAATCAGACATTGGCATGTTTTGGGTCCTTTGATTTGCTCACTGCTTAGAATTTCCCAGTAAATGGAGTTATTGTCTGCGGCAATACTGGCAAAGCTAGTACCTTCACTATACTCTGGTGTGAAAGGTTGTGGTGGGGTGACAGGTAGGTTATGGCTAGAGGGGAGTATTCTCAGCTGATTCGTGAAGAGCACTTCCCTGCACTGGACTGAATGGTATAGAATTGATTCTGGTATAGTGTAAGTGAGATGCACAGATGACAATATTTTGGGTTTCTATGCAGCTGATAATGACTCAGGAAAGTTAATTAAAATGCTACATTGCTAACTTAGAGCTCTAATCCTTCAATTCACTGTTCACAGGTGCACCACTGTACTTGCACAGTTTTGTTGATTTCAGTGGCACCCTGTGCAACTCACTAGTTATCTATATGCAGTGCATTACAGGATTGAGGCCTTTTTCTGTAATCCTTCAATTCACTGTTCACAGGTGCACTACTGTTCTTGCACAGTCTTGTTGATTTCAGTGGCACCCTGTGCAGCTCACTAGTTATCTATATGCAGTGCATTACAGGATTGAGGCCTTTTTCTCTAAGAGCTTATTTCTGTTGTACTATTCACCTGTGCAGCTCCTTGAATTATGAGGATTAGTCCTGTTTGGGCCATTTGATACTGCCATAACAAATACTAATGTTATAGACATTTATGGCATGCAAACAATGTGTTAACTGCAACTTTTCAAAAACCAAGCTTTTTAATGGAAAGGACAAATTAGTATGTGAACTAGAAGTCAGGTTTGAAGTAAGCACCCAAAAATGGGGGACAGAAAAGGAGATTGAGTTTGTTCCATATTAAATTTTATCCCCCTTTTAAAAAGCATTGTAGTATTTATGGTGTTTCTATTATGTGTTTTGATATAGAGGTGCAACTGCTTATGAATGTATTTTTGTGTCTCTACCTGATCGATTTTGTTCTCTTTGTAAACAGGAGTAGAAGCATAAAGAAGCTTATTTTATGAAGGCTTTTGAGTGAGTCGAGTAGAAGTTTGAAGTGATGTAACTTCTGGACTGGTTTTACAGAGCTTTTCAAATGAGATAATAATAAGAAAGTGACGCTGGTGGTGGAATAAACTGTCTTCAGCACAACAACTTCAAGTGATAAATCCGAATTGCAAGTACCATATAAACAAGTGTGATGTTGAAATGAGATGAGGCTCCGAAATGGAACTGTGGCCACCGTATTAGTTTTCATCACTTCTTTTCTCAGTTTGTCGTGGTACACTGCATGGCAAAATGGTAAAGGTAAGACATGTTTTGTGAAGCAAAAGGAACTGAACTCTAGATATGAGTGAAGGAGTAGTGAATGATGCAACATATGCTGTTTTTCCCCCAGATGCTTTAATACTAGTAAGCTGTAAACTGAATGTTGACTACTTTTGCTCAAGAGTACTATTTTGATGAGAAATATACATCTGTTCTTGCAGTCAGAAAATCAACCTGGAGGAATGCCTGTTATTTTTGTTTGAAAACACATTTCTGTGGAGAGAAACAAAATACTTTTTTTTTTTCTTAGGGGAAGGGCTATTTTAGGGAGGTGAATAGCTTATCTCCATTGCACATTTGCAGGAGTAACAGATGCTCTCTCTAATTTTTCCTGTGACAGTTGCCTAGTGGGCCAAGCTTGAGAATATAAACATTACTTTTTGGTGCCACGTTCTATTTTTTTCCTAATGATTTGATGATCGAAATGGCAAACTGCCATTCAACATCTTTTGAGAGATTTTTTTTTTCTCCTTCTGTCTTGCTTTTTAAGGGAAATGTAAAATATTTCCAGTTTGACCTCTTCACATGACACATTCATTTTTGAGTAATATAAAGATGAAATTAGTGACGTGTGTGTGTATATTAGATTTTACAAAACTTACACTTTCAGGATTATATTACTGTTCTCAGTCACTTTAAAATGTGTAAACCATTTTTTAAAAGATCAGATTAATTTTGTTCTGATTGAACCTGCTAAAACAGACTTTTTCTCAATGAAGGGCATTGGTGTGTAAAGGATCCACATCAGCGGGAGGCCATGCCGACTCCCTATACTGCCCTGTTGCAATGTCACAGTCAGTAAACAGTTTGCCTGGCCCGTCTCGGGCTTAGCTGTAGGCCGAGCAACAATTTATAATGGCCGCACCGTTGGTCAGGGCGGGCACTAAATAAGCACTTTAAACAGTCAGGGACTTAAGCCTCTCAGTAGGCTGAGACACAGTTTATAAGACCTGGCCTTCAATTCAGGCAGAGCCACAGATCAACAGTTAAGGGACCAGCCTGGGGCGCAGCCTGGACAAGCAGTTTATAAGGCCAGATAAGCAAGGGTTAGGGTGGGGCAGACAGACAAAAGCTTACCACAGGCAGTTCAACAACAGTTTAAAGCTCCATCTGGTCCCAGCAGGGCAAGGGTCCGGGTCTCCTTGCTGGTGGAGAGCCAACAGGAGCACGGGTTTTGCCCCACCAGGGGGAAACCTGCCACCTGAGGAGAGGAGTGTCAGGGGGACGCAGGCCCAGCACCCTGACAGTGGCAGCATGGCGGCCACTGGGTCATTGGGGATATGGAATGCAATCTACCTGAAAGTTCTGATACCTGTATTTCTGCACCTGCTCTGCCAATAGTTGACTTTCATTTGTACTATCAAGGTGGCTTGTGTATAGCTTATGGCAAGGGGTATGTTGGGTCCTGAAGGATCACTACTGGCATTTCAGTATTGCCAGTGGTAATTCATTGGTTGAGAGAGAATGTGATTGCAATCTTCTGAACAGTTTTGGGTTCTTAAAGATGTTATACACCTTTTCTGAGAAACCCACACTGATGCAAGTAGAGACGCCATGGCCAACCCGCACCTCTTGAGCCACGTGCGGCTCTTGCCCCCCCAAAAGTGCGGCTCATGTGGCCCTCCGCCCCAACTGCCCTCGTCGACTCTTCCCTCTCTCCCCTCGGCTTCCCTGTGCTTACTGGGTCGGAGCTGCAGGGTTTTCAAGATGGCGGCGGTCTTAAAGGGGCAGCCTTCTCTTTTAAAAAAACCTTTTTTAAAAGTTTTTGGTTTTGCTCAACAATTCTGTTGTGGGGCCTTTTTTCTTGACAGTTCTGGTGTGTCTCTTCGCATTTTTTCCGCTGCTGTTTTGGCTCTCTTTGTTAAATGGGTTGGCCACCCTTGAAGTAGAGTATCCCTGGTGAACCACCTAGTGCTTAACCATAGAAAAGTAGCTCATTCTATTGATGTACTCTGTGGCAAGGACAGGTGCCGAAATAGGAATGTGCATGTTGTGTGTTTCTTCCAAGTGATTTGGGAACCCCGTTGCTGCAGATCCATTCAGTATGTGCTGTATGTTGCAGATAGTTAGTCCCAAAGTTTATAGATACTGCCTAAAAAGATTGATTTATTAGTTTTTGTCAGAGAATTGTACTTGCTCACACATACTGGCAGGTAACACCATTGTCTATGATAAAGAATTTCCATTTCTTTGATACTATTTCTTTTGTTGTCCACATATAGAGCCAAATTGAGAGTGAGATTTTCTGACTTGCACACTATTACCAAAATTAGGTTGTAACTTTATAACCCACATTCTTTCAAACAAATCTGTGTAGTCCCTGAAGGCAATCATACTGCACAAGTCTAACTAAGGACAGTCAGTATCTTAACATAAGAAAGGTGCTCAAATGTAACTGAGGGCAGAGTTTGATTTGCAGACTTTTTATTGTTGGTAGGGTAACCTGAGCCAGAGTTTAGATCTTAGGTTGAGTTTATAAGGATGCTTTTTACTTGTAAAGTGGGTGATTTGATTTGAATGTCAGGAATGCACAATAACCATGAAATGTCATTAAAATACCCTTACAGCTTAAATAATTTAAATACCTCAAAATGCAGTGCTTGTATTTTGTTTGGATACCAAATAGTGAGTTACATGCTGATTGATTCTTGAACTTGTAATGTAGTTTGAAGTGGGGGCATATGTGTTAATCTGTGCTATGTCTCATTAGCTGAGCTTTCTCATTTTGTTTCAGACTGTTACACAAGACAGAGTTTCTTCTCACACCTAATTTAATCTTAAATTGACATGACATTTTTTTGTAGTAGTTCTTTATATAACCTTAGTGGGTGCATAGCATTTTGTTGTTGTGGTTTTTTTTGTAATTTAAGAAATGGTTTGATTCTTATATAATGAGAATTTCAAAACATGGACGTTTTGACAGCTTTTTATACTGGTGCCACATCCAACTACTCTAGTTTTAAGATGCTGACGTTGTCACTGAGTTACTGCGTTTTCTGCTTAAGAAAGGCCTTTTCATTTCACTAAATGCTTTCCTCCAGTCTATTGATCCATCATTCAGTTAGTCCATTAGAATACCTATGCATCTAAATACATAAATCTAAATTATGTATGCATGTAATGGTTATCCCCAATTGATGTTGTGTGTAGTCATAGTAATATAGCCAGTATGCTATTTGTAAAATATATAAATGGAAAAACACTATGCAAAAAATTACTTTTTTTTGCTGAGACTCCTTCTTACTTGTGGTTTTTGTGGTGCCTTACCAAGAGTGCTAGTCATTTGTCCCAAAACTCTTAAATATACATTTTTGCAGTATTATTGAGATTTATTGGAAAACTGGGCAGGTGCTATATTCTAGGAGTAATTTGATTTAATTTAGTAAGGATCACCTTAGGGACCACTTTTCCCTCCACTGAAGGAGTTGAGCCCGGGCAGGGTATGAAGGATGGATGAGAAGGGTATATCTTTCTTTGTTTTATTAATAACATTAGCTTTTTAAGACTGTTTCCTGTGTCCTAGGAGAAAACAGGAGGGTCTGTGTCCATGTGCCTAAACTGAAGGTCAGCTATTAAGAGATTACGGTTTGCTTCCAAGCTCTCTCCAAAGAGAGAGTTAAGAGCTTGGGGTTACTTACAGGGAGATGTTCCCAAGTGCTTCTTCTTGGCTTAAAGGGGTTTTTGCATTTGGGTGACAGCAGCGAGGGAGTCTATAATGTTGGGGAGTTCTTAAACAGAAGCCTTTAGTGGCAAGGTATTTTAAGGCCTCTTGTGGGCCCACATCTTCTGCAGTTGCAGTGCCAGTGTGTGAAACAGCCTTGACTCAGGGTGGCAAGAGTCTTGTCCATAAGCCTTAGGGATCCTCCTAACATAATGCGATCGCTCATATTGGCCTTAATTTGGGCTATCAGACGCATATGCATAGTTTCCAAATTCTTTATGGTATACACCCGCAAAGGGGTAGATACCATAAGTAGAGATGTGAATGGGTAACTGGTTACTCAGTAAGCATCACCCTTACTGGGTGATATTTACCAGGTACTAGTTAACGGGTACTTACTTGGACAACCACCTGCCTGTGGCCTGCTGGGAGCAGAAGCCGGGGATAGGAACAGGATCCCACTTAATCGGTTAACCAGGATTTTATATCCCTGACCATAAGTAGCCTTACAAGCAGAGACCTTTACTGTAGTAGTTCTACCATCAGAGCTCTTATGAGCCACCATATTAAATGTCAGAAGGTACAAAAATTAAGATGTGCAGCCCCATCCACCCTGATGATCAAAGATGCTTTTAACTAGATGCTCAGGAGCTTTGAACCAAAGCTGGTGCCATTTCCATCTAATTCCAAGAGCTGTTTTGGCAGATACTTTCCAAAGTTTTCTTGGAATCATAGAATACTAGAACCTGAAGGCACTTCTAGAGGTCACAACAGGACCAAGCACTATCTAGATCGTTCCTGGTGGATGTTTATCTAACCTGTTCTTCAGTGTCTCTAATTATGGAGATTCCACAACTTTCTTTGGCAATTTATTCCAGTGCTTAACTACCCTGATAGTTAGGAAGCTTTTCCTAATATCCAATGTAAACCTCCAATGCTGCAATTTAAGTCAATTGCTTCTTGTCATATCATCAGATAATAAGGAGAATAATTTTTGTGTCTCCTCCTTGTAACACCCCTTTAGGTCTTTGAAAGCCGCTATTGTGTCCCCCCTCAATCCTCTCTTTTCCAAATGAAAGAAGCCCAATTCTGCTGAAAATTTTAGCAGTAACGGAGGGGGAGAGGCAAACGGCTTCTGCCTGCCACCCTACGCTGCTGCCTCTGTATCAGAGGCAACAGTGAGGGGAAGGAGTGTGTGTGTGTGTGTGTGTGTGTGTGTGTGGTGTGGGGGGAATGGTGGAAACAGTTCAACAGGAACTGGTGCATGTGAGAAACCAGCTTAAAAACTGGCTCCCCACACATACCGGCTTTCCCCCAC